GCCCCCTTTATATTGACACTTCCTACACTGTAAACTCATAAGTGACTCAGCTTAAGTTGTTCATCTCTAGTTCATTATCGTAACTTACTGTTATTTATATAATTAGTCAAAGTTTTGTGTTTACTTTATATTACGATACATATTTAAATGGTACGAAATTCGGTGGATTTTCGAAAAAAACACCATTTTTTCGAAATATTTTCACGTATTTTCCTCAATTATGACTTTATCGATTTACTATCAACTTATCAATATAGTAAGTTATAAATATGATTCATCAAACAATTAATAAACACTAGTATTCGATCATGAATGGCTTTAAAAATGATTTTGGACACGAAATGTGGCGGTTTTTGGGGAAAATTCCCATATTTTCGTTCCCATATCATTTAGGTCACCGAAATTATGTCGAATATAAATATGTTTCGTAAGGTATTAAACCTGCCTAGTTTTACTTAATTATTAAACATATTTTTACATGTATTGTCGATGTTTCGTTTTATATAGCTGCAACACACAATTGTTAAAATAAATCTGTTGGGATGAAATTTAACTTATCTATTATTGAAACAACGTGAAATATTTCCAAATTTTACCAACAAGATATAAAATTTAAATATATCAAACAAACAATATCATGAAATAACAAATATAAATTATAAAAGAAATAAAAGTATGGTTAAAATATGGTTAAAAGAATCTACATGATAAAAATGTTTAATGAACCATGAGTAATAGTTGTCAAAGTTATCTCTTCAATAATAATGTAATTTCTTGGGACACACAATAAGACAAACACTTCAGGATGAATTAGTGAATTCTTCGTAGACCAATAAAATATCTACATCGTTAGTCGTGCTTAAATATATATAGGTTAATCTCAAACTGCAAGTAAAGAGTACCTATCTCCATGAAACAAATAAATTCCAGAATACATGGTCAAAATAATGTATACAAGGGACAAATAAATTTACAACCCGAAAATGGGTGAAAAATACACCAACAACCAAAATTTAGCCAAAAAATCAGTTTGGCCAAAAATAAGAAAATCATTGATCATTATTGAACTACTACTATCCTATTGAGTCCAAAAATGTTAGTACGATATTGATGAATGAAACGTTCTTCCTCCCTATTCAATTCAACAGGTCTTACCTGTTTAACTATCCCCAGTTTAAACAATTCCATATTAAAATCATTTTTTCAAACCAAAGAAGACTGTCGATTACAAAATGTTCATTTTTGTATTCATAGCTGTATTTGTACTGTCATTGTTTGGAACACATCGTGTATTGAGCAATTTGACCAAAACCCATAATCATGGGTAGAGTGGACCGCTGCCAGTGTCTCTCTTTCCCAAACAAAAGGAAATGATATTAATTTGATTGACCGTCTGCAATGCAAAATGATACCGAGAATGAAATCGGTCGCTCGCTTTCCCCATTCATTCATGGCTTACGAATTTTAATAAGTTTCGATTAATTACATCAATCACATGCTGTAAAAATCTCTTTGGGTTGCGTTCGGGTCGATACCTAGTATTTCGGGATACGGGTGGTAGTTAGTGTCCAATTAGCTGATGTTTATTGAATCTTTATTGCCGAGTACAGCTGCCTTCGGGTAGTTCTTCTTAAATCTATTACAATTGTATATGATTCAATCAAAGTAATATTATTTCCTTTTGTTTGGGAAAGAGAGACACTTCGGCTTCGAAGGAGAGGGGTCCAACAGCGTCAGCGATTAGGTGTTTGGTAGGGAGGTCAGTATCTGAAGCTTGGTCCATAAGAAGGATAGGATGGGATGTGACCTGAACTTGGAAATATGACAGGATCTGGTGTTGCACTACTGTATTAGATAATGCGACACGATCTCTAGTGCGAAAGAGGGAGGTCTTGTTGAACTTCAGGTTTCGCACTACAGTACGTTTACCACACTTTTGAGTCTTTTGAGTCTTCGCTATGCCTATAGAATATAGATGATTTATAACAATGTAATTTATTCAAGTTATCTCTAAGTTTAAGCACGGAAGGAATATTATTTTACGTTATATTTGCCACAGAAAGCATCTGAGGCAAATCATCAGAATGACTTACCCTAATATAATCAAAAACGACACCCTTTACAAGAGATGTGAAGTGGTTCCACTCAGTGAGCGTGTTGCATGTGCACGATGGAGGATGCTCGGACATGTCCTTCGCAGTGATAACAACTCACCTGCACAGCTTGCATTACACTTTGCAGTAGAGAGTCAGAGTACTAAAAAGGGTAGAGTAGGTAGACACCAGTCGAACTTGCTTAAGACTATTAAATTTAGGTAGCAGGAACATTCCATTTGTAAATACAGACGATTTGTACAATTTAAGACTTTTAGCCTCTGATAGAGCGGGATGGAAGAAGTTGTTATAGCTTGTGTATCAGTTTTTCTTTTTTTCTGGCTACTTATCAGATCTTTAAGATGTTCATTTATGTTCTATTTTTGATTTGAATAAAGTTATATAATATATTTCACTGATTCTAAATGAATATTACGCTATATTTTACAGATCTACTATGTGCTCCTTTATAATTAAACTTGCTGCAGTTTCTAATTTTGAGCGCAATCTCGCTATAAAAGAAAACGATATGATTGCCTCAGACTTGCTCACATAATATGCTAACATAAACTGAATAGTGTCATGCCCTCACTGTCCTCACTGTGTTGTCATGGTTACATTACCATATAAGGTAGTATAGAAGGTATGGGAGTATACCAGAATAGTCTGCTTCTCTCACATTCTCTGTCACTGATACTATGATACCTATATTCTCGTATCCTTAGTGTAATTTCATTAATTTGAAGACTTTGACTGTCCCCTCATTTCCTAACTTTTCTTCCGCACCTTTTCACTTAAGGTATGTCAAACACGCCTCTTTGATATCGGCGGCTTTCCAATTAAGACACAGTATTCACACCGCGTGACACAAACCAACCAGTCAGAGCACATTATTCAAGTCAGGTGACACAAACCAATCAATGAAAGCCCAGCGCATAAACCCTGATTAATAGCGTTTATTATTGGGTTTCTGTCACAGTTGATGGGTGAGATGGTGGATTATTATATTGTTAATTTAACTGCGTATAAGTGGAGGTATATTGTTAATCGTTTTATCATTTGTTAATTCAGTACGGTATAGCAAACTTCACTCAAGCTCTTAAGCGAGTATATCCTGTCACTGTCGCTTTGCTTTGATTTTTCGCTGCAATTTTCCTACATAGCTAGCCATGGATTCCTTGATAAATATTATATCTCGTTCATTCTCTGTTATCTTTTTTTTATTTGCAACTTTTTTATTTGAGTTAGAATAGGTTTTTGGCCATCAGAAATTCGCCAAATTTCCGAACGAACAAGGGTCAGGGTCAGGGTCAGGGTCAGGGTCAGGGTCAGGGTCAGGGTCAGGGTCAGGGTCAGGGTCAGGGTCAGGGTCAGGGTCAGGGTCAGGGTCAGGGTCAGGGTCAGGGTCAGGGTCAGGGTCAGGGTCAGGGTCAGGGTCAGGGTCAGGGTCAGGGTCAGGGTCAGGGTCAGGGTCAGGGTCAGGGTCAGGGTCAGGGTCAGGGTCAGGGTCAGGGTCAGGGTCAGGGTCAGGGTCAGGGTCAGGGTCAGGGTCAGGGTCAGGGTCAGGGTCAGGGTCAGGGTCAGGGTCAGGGTCAGGGTCAGGGTCAGGGTCAGGGTCAGGGTCAGGGTCAGGGTCAGGGTCAGGGTCAGGGTCAGGGTCAGGGTCAGGGTCAGGGTCAGGGTCAGGGTCAGGGTCAGGGTCAGGGTCAGGGTCAGGGTCAGGGTCAGGGTCAGGGTCAGGGTCAGGGTCAGGGTCAGGGTCAGGGTCAGGGTCAGGGTCAGGGTCAGGGTCAGGGTCAGGGTCAGGGTCAGGGTCAGGGTCAGGGTCAGGGTCAGGGTCAGGGTCAGGGTCAGGGTCAGGGTCAGGGTCAGGGTCAGGGTCAGGGTCAGGGTCAGGGTCAGGGTCAGGGTCAGGGTCAGGGTCAGGGTCAGGGTCAGGGTCAGGGTCAGGGTCAGGGTCAGGGTCAGGGTCAGGGTCAGGGTCAGGGTCAGGGTCAGGGTCAGGGTCAGGGTCAGGGTCAGGGTCAGGGTCAGGGTCAGGGTCAGGGTCAGGGTCAGGGTCAGGGTCAGGGTCAGGGTCAGGGTCAGGGTCAGGGTCAGGGTCAGGGTCAGGGTCAGGGTCAGGGTCAGGGTCAGGGTCAGGGTCAGGGTCAGGGTCAGGGTCAGGGTCAGGGTCAGGGTCAGGGTCAGGGTCAGGGTCAGGGTCAGGGTCAGGGTCAGGGTCAGGGTCAGGGTCAGGGTCAGGGTCAGGGTCAGGGTCAGGGTCAGGGTCAGGGTCAGGGTCAGGGTCAGGGTCAGGGTCAGGGTCAGGGTCAGGGTCAGGGTCAGGGTCAGGGTCAGGGTCAGGGTCAGGGTCAGGGTCAGGGTCAGGGTCAGGGTCAGGGTCAGGGTCAGGGTCAGGGTCAGGGTCAGGGTCAGGGTTAATTGTATTAAATTATATTGTCGGGGGGTCAATAATTAAAGCTTGTAATTACAATAACTAATGCTCCTATAAATACTTTAATTAATTGTTTGTTCCGTTATTCTTTTTCCTTCCTCTTTTCCTTGTCATCCCCTTTAGTTTTAAGATTCTTGCTATAAATGGCTACAGCTAACACTATTAATGCTAAGTACCAAACAACAAGTGGGAGGTGGATCGTTGGTATACCATTAAATCGATTAAACACCGTAATTCCAGTCGCAAGCCTGGGACCACTACTAGCATAGTCAAAACATCTACAAAGCTGACATATAGCCTGACTGACAATTTTCTCGACTGACTGACAATGTTTCTTCTTTTCCCCATTTAGAATACAAAGATTAGTACATTTTAGCTTATGATTAATATTATATTTTTATCTATAGTTTACCTAGATTGTCGCCCACCTGGCCCAGTTCACTAACTGCACTAACTTTGCAGCAGATATCATGTCTAACATGTCCCAGTTCACTAACTGCACTAACTTTGCAGCAGATAACATGTCTAACATGTCCCAGTTCACTAACTGCACTAACTTTGCAGCAGATAACATGTCTAACATGTCCCAGTTCACTAGCTGCACTAACTTTGCAGCAGATAACATGTCTAACATGTCCCAGTTCACTAACTGCACTAACTTTGCAGCAGATAACATGTCTAACATGTCCCAGTTCACTAGCTGCACTAACTTTGCAGCAGATAACATGTCTAACATGTCCCAGTTCACTAACTGCACTAACTTTGCAGCAGATAACATGTCTAACATGTCCCAGTTCATTAACTGCACTAACTTTGCAGCAGATATCATGTCTAACATGTCCCAGTTCACTAACTGCACTAACTTTGCAGCAGATAACATGTCTAACATGTCCCAGTTCACTAACTGCACTAACTTTGCAGCAGATAACATGTCTAACATGTCCCAGTTCATTAACTGCACTAACTTTGCAGCAGATAACATGTCTAACATGTCCCAGTTCACTAACTGCACTAACTTTGCAGCAGATAACATGTCTAACATGTCCCAGTTCATTAACTGCACTAACTTTGCAGCAGATATCATGTCTAACATGTCCCAGTTCACTAACTGCACTAACTTTGCAGCAGATAACATGTCTAACATGTCCCAGTTCATTAACTGCACTAACTTTGCAGCAGATATCATGTCTAACATGTCCCAGTTCACTAACTGCACTAACTTTGCAGCAGATAACATGTCTAACATGTCCCAGTTCACTAACTGCACTAACTTTGCAGCAGATAACATGTCTAACATGTCCCAGTTCACTAACTGCACTAACTTTGCAGCAGATATCATGTCTAACATGTCCCAGTTCACTACTTCAGTCTCCCTCCTCTCCTCTGTACCTCATGAAGACCACGCTGATTTCTACACTGGAACTGAAAGATATGTCATGATGTCATTCTTAATTCTTTGCATAATATTCACTTTAGCTGGTGAGTACACCATCACGTGACTATAAGAAGTGTTGTGACGTCATCACACTGTTAGTGACGTCATCACACTGTTAGTTTTGAAATTATTTTCAAACTCCAAATAAATATGTAGTTCAAATATCGTTTAATGTTTTCTTTCAAATGATAGCGAAACAGTAAACAGGATGTAGCCTGTAACCATGGTAACAATCACCAGGTAACAGCGTTATGTTGTGGAGTATCGTGTTTGTGCCGTCCCTTCAGACTGTGAACAACGTGTTTCTTGCTTCACTCTGCTGTGCTAATCTTCTCAACGGACTCTTCACAATGCCCTTCATAGGTCAGTGTATAGTGGAGGTAGTGTATAGTGGAGGTAGTGTATAGTGGAGGTAGTGTATAGTGGAGGTAGTGTATAGTGGAGGTAGTGTATAGTGGAGGTAGTGTATAGTGGAGGTAATGTATAGTGGAGGTAGTGTATAGTGGAGGTCGTGTATAGTGGAGGTAGTGTATAGTGGAGGTAGTGTATAGTGGAGGTAGTGTATAGTGGAGGGAGTGTATAGTGGAGGTAGTGTAGTGTATAGTGGAGGTAGTGTATAGTGGAGGTAGTGTATAGTGGAGGTAGTGTATAGTGGAGGTAGTGTATAGTGGAGGTAGTGTATAGTGGAGGTAGTGTATAGTGGAGGTAGTGTATAGTGGAGGTAGTGTATAGTGGAGGCAGTGTAGTGTATAGTGGAGGTAGTGTATAGTGGAGGTAGTGTATAGTGGAGGTAGTGTATAGTGGAGGTAGTGTATAGTGGAGGTAGTGTATAGTGGAGGTAGTGTATAGTGGAGGTAGTGTAGTGTATAGTGGAGGTAGTGTATAGTGGAGGTAGTGTATAGTGGAGGTAGTGTATAGTGGAGGTAGTGTATAGTGGAGGTAGTGTATAGTGGAGGTAGTGTATAGTGGAGGTAGTGTATAGTGGAGGTAGTGTATAGTGGAGGTAGTGTATAGTGGAGGTAGTGTATAGTTGAGGTAGTGTAGTGTATAGTGGAGGTAGTGTATAGTGGAGGTAGTGTATAGTGGAGGTAGTGTATAGTGGAGGTAGTGTATAGTGGAGGTAGTGTATAGTGGAGGTAGTGTATAGTGGAGGTAGTGTATAGTGGAGGTAGTGTAGTGTATAGTGGAGGTAGTGTATAGTGGAGGTAGTGTATAGTGGAGGTAGTGTATAGTGGAGGTAGTGTATAGTGGAGGTAGTGTATAGTGGAGGTAGTGTATAGTGGAGGTAGTGTATAGTGGAGGTAGTGTAGTGTATAGTGGAGGTAGTGTATAGTGGAGGTAGTGTATAGTGGAGGTAGTGTATGGTACTTGTTCTACTTCAGATATATACATTTTACATTGTATTAGTAAGTTTCGAATTTAATGAGAAGACGAAATGAAAAATAAATACATATAGCTTTGTAACGTGTATAATAATATTTGTGTAACTACTGTACTTTCTCTCAGCTCACTCGCTGACATCAAATCAGTCGGACGTAACTGTCTTACCTCTAAAGAAAGCTTCAATGTGTACTATAAGTGGATTCGTAGATAACGGAGCCATGGTGGGATTTATGTGGACCTTAACTCTACTCAGTATCGACAGGTTAGTAATCTACTTTACTCAGTATTGACAGGTTAGTAATCTACTTTACTCAGTATTGACATGTTAGTAATCTACTTTACTCAGTATTGACATGTTAGTAATCTACTTTACTCAGTATCGACATGTTAGTAATCTACTTTACTCAGTATCGACATGTTAGTAATCTACTTTACTCAGTATCGACAGGTTAGTAATTTACTTTACTCAGTATCGACATGTTAGTAATCTACTTTACTCAGTATTGACAGGTTAGTAATCTACTTTACTCATTATTGACAGGTTAGTAATCTACTTTACTCAGTATTGACAGGTTAGTAATCTACTTTACTCAGTATCGACATGTTAGTAATCTACTTTACTCATTATTGACATGTTCGTAATCTACTTTACTCATTATTGACATGTTAGTAATCTACTTTACTCATTATTGACATGTTAGTAATCTACTTTACTCATTATTGACATGTTAGTAATCTACTTTACTCAGTATCGACATGTTAGTAATCTACTTTACTCAGTATCGACATGTTAGTAATCTACTTTACTCAGTATTGGCATGTTAGTAATCTACTTTACTCAGTATTGACAGGTTAGTAATCTACTTTACTCAGTATTGACAGGTTAGTAATCTACTTTACTCAGTATTGACAGGTTAGTAATCTACTTTACTCAGTATTGACAGGTTAGTAATCTACTTTACTCAGTATTGACAGGTTAGTAATCTACTTTACTCAGTATCGACATGTTAGTAATCTACTTTACTCATTATTGACATGTTAGTAATCTACTTTACTCATTATTGACATGTTAGTAATCTACTTTACTCATTATTGACATGTTAGTAATCTACTTTACTCATTATTGACATGTTAGTAATCTACTTTACTCATTATTGACATGTTAGTAATCTACTTTACTCAGTATTGACAGGTTAGTAATTTACTTTACTAAGTATCGACATGTTAGTTATCTACTTTACTCAGTATTTTCCACCCAGATTTGTGTTGATCAGATACCCGATATGGTACAAACTGAAACAAAACAAAAACAGAGCCGCCTTACTTTTACTTCTTACTTGGACATTTTCTTGTGGTCTGGTTACACCTCCTATATTCCACGTTGGTAAATACAGGTCAGAACTTCTACTAGAGTACTTGTTACTATAGTCACTGTAACTTGTAATATATAAAAGTATGTAAAATAATGTAAAAGTATGTAAAAGTATGTAAAAGTATGTAAAAGTATGTAAAAGTTCAACTCAGATATTCGAAGTGGACGTTTTCCTGCGGAATAGACCCGATAGACAAAGTTCAGCTCGCTTTAGACAATGTTTACAATCCTACCTTCTGCTACTTTCTGGGATTCTGCTGTGTTAACAGTGTCCTGCCAATTCCTATCGTACTCATCAGCAACCTTCACATATTAGGGGTAAGTTTACTGTACTCCTTCACATATTAGGGGTAAGTTTACTCATCAGTAACCTTCACATATTAAGGGTAAGTTTACTGTACTCATCAGCAACCTTCACATATTAGGGGTAAGTTTACTGTACTCATCAGCAACCTTCACATATTAGGGGTAAGTTTACTGTACTCATCAGCAACCTTCACATATTAGTGGTAAGTTTACTGTACTCATCAGCAACCTTCACATATTAGGGGTAAGTTTACTGTACTCATCAGCAACCTTCACATATTAGGGGTAAGTTTACTGTACTCATCAGCAACCTTCACATATTAGGGGTAAGTTTACTGTACTCCTTCACATATTATGGGTAAGTTTACTCATCAGCAACCTTCACATATTAAGGGTAAGTTTACTGTACTCATCAGCAACCTTCACATATTAGGGGTAAGTTTACTGTACTCATCAGCAACCTTCACATATTAGGGGTAAGTTTACTGTACTCATCAGCAACCTTCACATATTAGGGGTAAGTTTACTGTACTCATCAGCAACCTTAACATATTAGGGGTAAGTTTACTGTACTCATCAGCAATCTTTACATATTAGGGGTAAGTTTACTCATCAGCAACCTTCACATATTAAGGGTAAGTTTACTGTACTCATCAGCAACCTTCACATATTAGGGGTAAGTTTACTGTACTCATCAGCAACCTTCACATATTAGGGGTAAGTTTACTGTACTCATCAGCAACCTTCACATATTAGGGGTAAGTTTACTGTACTCATCAGCAACCTTAACATATTAGGGGTAAGTTTACTGTACTCATCAGCAACCTTCACATATTAGGGGTAAGTTTACTGTACTCATCAGCAACCTTCACATATTAAGGGTAAGTTTACTGTACTCATCAGCAACCTTCACGTATTAGGGGTAAGTTTACTGTACTCATCAGCAACCTTCACATATTAGTGGTAAGTTTACTGTACTCATCAGCAACCTTCACATATTAGGGGTAAGTTTACTGTACTCATCAGCAACCTTCACATATTAGGGGTAAGTTTACTGTACTCCTTCACATATTAGTGGTAAGTTTACTGTACTCATCAGCAACCTTCACATATTAGGGGTAAGTTTACTGTACTCATCAGGAACCTTCACATATTAGGGGTAAGTTTACTGTACTCATCAGCAACCTTCACATATTAGGGGTAAGTTTACTGTACTCATCAGCAACCTTCACAAATTAGGGGTTAGTTTACTGTACTCATCAGCAACCTTCACATATTAGTGGTAAGTTTACTGTACTCATCAGCAACCTTCACATATTAGTGGTAAGTTTACTGTACTCATCAGCAACCTTCACATATTAGGGGTAAGTTTACTGTACTCATCAGCAACCTTCACATATTAGGGGTAAGTTTACTGTACTCCTTCACATATTAGGGGTAAGTTTACTGTACTCATCAGCAACCTTCACATATTAGGGGTAAGTTTACTGTACTCATCAGCAACCTTCACATATTAGGGGTAAGTTTACTGTAATCATCAGCAACCTTCACATATTAGGGGTAAGTTTACTGTAATCATCAGCAACCTTCACATATTAGGGGTAAGTTTAGTGTACTCATCAGCAACCTTCACATATTAGGGGTAAGTTTACTGTAATCATCAGCAACCTTCACATATTAGGGGTAAGTTTACAGTAATCATCAGCAACCTTCACATATTAGGGGTAAGTTTACAGTAATCATCAGCAACCTTCACATATTAGGGGTAAGTTTAGTGTACTCATCAGCAACCTTCACATATTAGGGGTAAGTTTACTGTAATCATCAGCAACCTTAACATATTAGGGGTAAGTTTACTGTACTCATCAGCAACCTTCACATATTAGGGGTAAGTTTACAGTAATCATCAGCAACCTTCACATATTAGGGGTAAGTTTACTGTACTCATCAGCAACCTTCACATATTAGGGGTAAGTTTACAGTAATCATCAGCAACCTTCACATATTAGGGGTAAGTTTACTGTACTCATCAGCAACCTTCACATATTAGGGGTAAGTTTACTGTAATCATCAGCAACTTTCACATATTAGGGGTAAGTTTACTGTAATCATCAGCAACCTTCACATATTAGGGGTAAGTTTACTGTACTCCTTCACATATTAGGGGTAAGTTTACTGTACTCATCAGCAACCTTCACATGTTAGGGGTAAGTTTACTGTACTCATCAGCAACCTTTACATATTAGGGGTAAGTTTACTGTAATCATCAGCAACCTTCACATATTAGGGGTAAGTTTACTGTACTCATCAGCAACCTTCACATATTAGGGGTAAGTTTACTGTACTCATCAGCAACCTTTACATATTAGGGGTAAGTTTACTGTACTCATCAGCAACCTTCACATATTAGGGGTAAGTTTACTGTACTCGTCAGCAACCTTCACATATTAGGGGTAAGTTTACTGTACTCATCAGCAACCTTCACATATTAGGGGTAAGTTTACTGTACTCATCAGCAACCTTCACATATTAGGGGTAAGTTTACTGTACTCATCAGCAACCTTCACATATTAGGGGTAAGTTTACTGTACTCATCAGCAACCTTCACATATTAGGGGTAAGTTTACTGTACTCCTTCACATATTAAGGGTAAGTTTACTGTACTCATCAGCAACCTTCACATATTAGGGGTAAGTTTACTGTACTCATCAGCAACCTTCACATATTAGGGGTAAGTTTACTGTACTCATCAGCAACCTTCACAATTCACATACTAGGGGTAAGTTTACTGTACTCCTTCACATATAAGGGGTAAGTTTACTGTACTCATCAGCAACCTTCACATATTAGGGGTAAGTTTACTGTACTCATCAGCAGTTTGTTTTTTAAAAAAAAGTTTGAAACCCCACGGTGGAGGGTGGCGTGTGCCGCAATTTATTAATCAATGGTAATTACATGATAAATGAAATTATAGAAGTCACACTAAAATATAATAATGTAAAATAGAATATATTAAAATAAATGCACTACTAAAAGTACTATATAACTAACGGTCTGCAAAACTGGTTGGAGTCGCAATTTGTAAACATGCTAATTACTATTCAATAATAATAGATAAAAAGTTTTGCGCGGCAGATGTAAATTCGGCATTGCATCATGGCAGTGAAATTAAAATGCTATGTTGTTGATAAAAGATCATAGTCATTTGTCGCGAGTGATCTTTCTCTACGCGTTGTCGCTTACTAACTGGGTGCTGTAGTCTATTTGCGAGCGCCCTTCTCTTTGAGACTTTCTTAGCCCAGGTATACTATAAAGTAAGAAATTTGGCCAATTTTCATCGTCTCCTGAGCTTTGCAGCTTGAGGAGTTCGCGCTTAGCTGAATTTTTAAAGATTTCAATTGAAAAGGTAGAACTTGGAATAGTTATATCCTTACTTTGTTTAGTAATAGAGAGCATGGGTCCTTTGAAGAAAAGAGTATTTCTAAATGTTGGGCCGTTGTAAGTTGTGAACCAAGAAAGGTTATGTTCGTATGTGGAATTAAAGGTGGGAATATCGTGAGGGAAAAGTTCTTTTATGGATTTAGGGAGAAGGCTTGGCATGTTCCTTACTTTGTGTAGTAGAATAAGAGCGTTTTTTACAATGACGCTATGGACTGTTAGGATATTATGCAATCTAAACGCACTTTTTGTGTGCTCCGGGGGATTGCCGTCTTTATATCTGTAATTTACATATCCTGACATAACAGCTCTAATTCCCTGCTTTTGCTTGGTGAACAGAGATTCAATGTGACATTTTGAGGCAAATCCCCACACTAAAGAACAGAAATTTAGATGGGATTGGATAAGGCTTTGGAAAATGTTTAGGCGGGCTTTGATAGGTAGAAGGTGCTTTAGCTTATACATAACTCCGAGGTAGCGACCCATCTTTATTCTAACTGCCGTAATGTGTTTTTGCCAAGTCAGATTTTCGTCTAGGATCACTTCTAAAAATCTTGCTTCAGTCTTACGTTCGATTACAGTGTTGTCAATGGACAAATTAAAGCCGCTGAAGTCGATTCTTTTTCTAGTGAAAATCATGTAACACGTCTAACAGCAACCTTCACATATTAGGGGTAAGTTTACTGTACTCATCAGCAACCTTCACATATTAGGGGTAAGTTTACTGTACTCATCAGCAACCTTCACATATTAGGGGTAAGTTTACTGTACTCCTTCACATATTAGGGGTAAGTTTACTGTACTCATCAGCAACCTTCACATATTAGGGGTAAGTTTACTGTACTCATCAGCAACCTTCACATATTAGGGGTAAGTTTACTGTACTCATCAGCAACCTTCACATATTAGGGGTAAGTTTACTGTACTCATCAGCAACCTTCACATATTAGGGGTAAGTTTACTGTACTCATCAGCAACCTTCACATATTAGGGGTAAGTTTACTGTACTCATCAGCAACCTTCACATATTAGGGGTAAGTTTACTGTACTCATCAGCAACCTTCACATATTAGGGGAAAGTTTACTGTACTCATCAGCAACCTTCACATATTAGGGGTAAGTTTACTGTACTCATCAGCAACCTTCACATATTAGGGGTAAGTTTACTGTACTCATCAGCAACCTTCACATATTAGTGGTAAGTTTACTCTACTCATCAGCAACCTTCACATATTAGGGGTAAGTTTACTGTACTCATCAGCAACCTTCACATATTAGGGGAAAGTTTACTGTACTCATCAGCAACCTTCACATATTAGGGGTAAGTTTACTGTACTCATCAGCAACCTTAACATATTAGGGGTAAGTTTACTGTACTCATCAGCAATCTTTACATATTAGGGGTAAGTTTACTCATCAGCAACCTTCACATATTAAGGGTAAGTTTACTGTACTCATCAGCAACCTTCACATATTAGGGGTAAGTTTACTGTACTCATCAGCAACCTTCACATATTAGGGGTAAGTTTACTGTACTCATCAGCAACCTTCACATATTAGGGGAAAGTTTACTGTACTCATCAGCAACCTTCACATATTAGGGGTAAGTTTACTGTACTCATCAGCAACCTTCACATATTAGGGGTAAGTTTACTGTACTCATCAGCAACCTTCACATATTAGTGGTAAGTTTACTCTACTCATCAGCAACCTTCACATATTAGGGGTAAGTTTACTGTACTCATCAGCAACCTTCACATATTAGGGGAAAGTTTACTGTACTCATCAGCAACCTTCACATATTAGGGGTAAGTTTACTGTACTCATCAGCAACCTTAACATATTAGGGGTAAGTTTACTGTACTCATCAGCAATCTTTACATATTAGGGGTAAGTTTACTCATCAGCAACCTTCACATATTAAGGGTAAGTTTACTGTACTCATCAGCATTCTTCACATATTAGGGGTAAGTTTACTGTACTCATCAGCAACCTTCACATATTAGGGGTAATTTTACTGTACTCATCAGCAACCTTCACATATTAGGGGTAAGTTTACTGTACTCATCAGCAATCTTTACATATTAGGGGTAAGTTTACTGTACTCATCAGCAACCTTCACATATTAGTGGTAAGTTTACTGTACTCATCAGCAACCTTCACATATTAGGGGTAAGTTTACTGTACTCATCAGCAACCTTCACATATTAGGGGTAAGTTTACTGTACTCCTTCACATATTAGGGGTAAGTTTACTGTACTCATCAGCAACCTTCACATATTAGGGGTAAGTTTACTGTACTCATCAGCAACCTTCACATATTAGGGGTAAGTTTACTGTACTCATCAGCAACCTTCACATATTAGGGGTAAGTTTACTGTACTCATCAGCAACCTTCACATATTAGGGGTAAGTTTACTGTACTCATCAGCAACCTTCACATATTAGGGGTAAGTTTACTGTACTCATCAGCAATCTTTACATATTAGGGGTAAGTTTAATGTACTCATCAGCAACCTTCACATATTAGAGGGTAAGTTTACTGTACTCATCAGCAACCTTCACATATTAGGGGTAAGTTTACTGTAATCATCAGCAACCTTCACATATTAGGGGTAAGTTTACTGTAATCATCAGCAACCTTCACATATTAGGGGTAAGTTTACTGTACTCATCAGCAACCTTCACATATTAGGGGTAAGTTTACTGTACTCATCAGCAACCTTCACATATTAGGGGTAAGTTTACTGTACTCCTTCACATATTAGGGGTAAGTTTACTGTAATCATCAGCAACCTTCACATATTAGGGGTAAGTTTACAGTAATCATCAGCAACCTTCACATATTAGGGGTAAGTTTACTGTACTCATCAGCAACCTTCACATATTAGGGGTAAGTTTACTGTACTCATCAGCAACCTTTACATATTAGGGGTAAGTTTACTGTACTCATCAGCATCCTTCACATATTAGGGGTAAGTTTACTGTACTCATCAGCATTCTTCACATATTAGGGGTAAGTTTACTGTACTCATTAGCAACCTTCACATATTAGGGGTAAGTTTACTGTACTCGTCAGCAACCTTCACATATTAGGGGTAAGTTTACTGTACTCATCAGCAACCTTCACATATTAGGGGTAAGTTTACTGTACTCATCAGCAACCTTCACATATTAGGGGTAAGTTTACTGTACTCATCAGCAACCTTCGCATATTAGGGGTAAGTTTACTGTACTCATCAGCAACCTTCACATATTAGGGGTAAGTTTACTGTACTCATCAGCAACCTTCACATATTAGGGGTAAGTTTACTGTACTCATCAGCAACCTTCACATATTAGGGGTAAGTTTACTGTACTCATCAGCAACCTTCGCATATTAGGGGTAAGTTTACTGTACTCATCAGCAACCTTCACATATTAGGGGTAAGTTTACTGTACTCATCAGCAACCTTCACATATTAGGGGTAAGTTTACTGTACTCATCAGCAACCTTCGCATATTAGGGGTAAGTTTACTGTACTCATCAGCAACCTTCACATATTAGGGGTAAGTTTACTGTACTCATCAGCAACCTTCACATATTAGGGGTCAGTTCAGTGTTCACCACTTTAATTTGAAGTGCAATACTAAGTAGTAACATTGTTATTTTAATTAATAACTTATATATTATTATATTATATAATTGTGGGTGGCGTCGTCTACTGACAGTGCTCAATCGGCAAGCCGAGAGCTAGATACAAATAGGAACGACCGGTTGAGTCAAACAATTGTTTCAATCATGGAAGCATGATATCACCAGTGACAATTGAGGTAGGAAATAAAATTATTTTAAGTACAAAGCTAAAAGTTTACATGAATAATCACTCGCGTCGCGAAACATAATATAGCCTCCATATTTTTTACTCGCATTCAAATTATTATATTCGATTTATTTGACTCAACTGGTCGTTTCTACTTGTATTATTATATAATATATACTTTAAAAAATCTGATCTATTTAATCACGAATGTAATCTAATAATCATAATTGATATAATCTAATAAGTTGCTAACACAATCTAATAAATAATCTAATTACAGGTGTTATTAAAAACTCCCAGACGAATAAGGAAGGAACATTTGGCTAGACGATATCGTAAGAGCGCTAAGTTAATGATGGTTCTTACTGCTTATCTAATGTTATCTCTCAGTCCGGGTGAGCCTAAGATACTGATAGCCATCTCGTTCAATTTTAACAAGAATTGCGCCGGTTAGCGGACGCTAAATTTCCATCAACCGTATAGGTATGAACTTTTAAAATTTAAAATTACAATTAACGATCGTTTCATGTTGGTCAAATTATCAAATAATGGTTTTTTATTCATCATTCTTGGGGCGCTACGGAGCACAAAATGGAGGGGTTGCCATTGTCAATTATTCAAATTTAAAAAGTTAAATGACCGAACAACGTAGCCTGTGTGGTTATATGCAGTTATGCAGCCATGTGAAGGAATAGTTTTTTACAATTTACATAAGTTGTTAGATTAAATAAATGGTAGTCGTGAAATCTGTGGTAGGTAATGTAACTCATAATAATGTAACTCATGGACCATTTATGGTCCAATTCGTATATTAAATCAATCAGTATCACTCGACAATCATGTTCAACATACAACATAACTTCAGCATCATAATTTGTTTAACAATATAAAGGATTACTATTACTAATATGTAATATCGGGAGCCAAGTCGGTGGTTGCACCAAGCACTCACAACAAAACGAGAAGTTTGTATGTTGTAGCGCATTAATGATCATTGATCAAGTTTAAAAAAAGCTTGAACTACTTTAACTTCAATTACCATAGAATTCAAATTGTATGCTTGGTGCAGTGCATTCGAAAGTGTAATTCAATCAATCGTCAAATCGTGCAAACGTATGCGGAGGGTAACTATGGCGACAACACTATTACTGCTCTGCGCGCGGAGAAGTTACATTAAAATGGCGTATCTTTGTCCATATTTATAGGGTGGAAAAATAAAGGAGCACACTTTTTCCATTCACACCCTTTTGTAAAACAGCAATTTTTTTTTTTGTTCAGGGAGCAGGCTTGCCACATAGGTCCAGGAGTACCGAACGTTTAGGCAGGGTGCTAGGTTATGGAACACACTCAACTAGTATAGGTAGTCTGAGAGTCCGAAATCTCCAAAAGGAGATGTCATCAGAGTGTGATCCACTGCCTGACTAACCTGTGGGTAGAGTTCTTTAGACTCTATTATGATGACAGGTAGTATCTTCTGTATGTTGCTGAGATCCAGTGTCCATGGTACCTATCACCTATCTAGATAATAATAACGAAATGGGAGGCTCTATTTGTCCAAGTGTGCTTCAAATTAAACTGATAAATAAAATACAAATTTGAATTTAAAAATTTTTAAAACCAATAATAAATATAAGGATAAATACCTTGACTGAAATAGTGAATGTCTCTGAAGAAGTAGAGACGTAGAACTTGTTACGACACGATATAATGCTGAAAGAAAGCCTGTCTCTGAAGAAGGAGAGACAATAAAACAAGATGCGACACGGTATGTTGAAATAATTTTTTCCATTCACACTCTTTTGTAAAAAGCAATAGTGAAAGGTTACAAATGGTCGTTTTTGCAGAAAAAGAGGGATTTTGGAGAACGAGGTGGGTGGGTTTAAATATGTCGTCAGTCCTTCCTTGCTAATACTTAATTTACTTCCGTCCGTTGACATGACAACTAGCTGCGCGTATCGTGCGAGGGTTGCTTGCGGATATGTGATGTATAGGCATAGCTACCCTGTGGTCAATGAATGCCCGGCGCGAGTGTATTTTATTGTACACTATGTAATGTATAGTATTAGGTAATAAGCCCAATTTGTACGTGGCTCGCGTAGTGTACTGATGTGTATAAAACATGAGTATTAATGCTTTTCATGCAAACAAGTGAAAACGAATCTTTTATGTCATGTATCCTGGGTTTGGACAGGATCATATGCCAAAAATAATTTATTTTTGCTCACAATTTCTTGAATTACAGATACAAGTGAAGTTCTACGGCAATTAAATTGAATTTCAAGTGTTTCCCGTATTTAAAGCATAATTTATCAATATTATTATTATGAAGTGAGCTGATTAGCAAGCTTATACTTATAAATTAATTATAGTAAATGGAAATCTAGCGTCCGCCAAAACGAAACAACGGGCGCAATTCTTGTTTCCTTTGTGACACCACGAAAAATCTATCTACCTACTATTTCCATTTTCAATTCCTACCACTTCTAACCATTGGTACCATGATCAATGGATACTCAGGATCTCAACACACACAAAAGATACTACCTGCCATAATTATAGATTCTAGCGAACTCTATCCACAAGTTAGTCAGGCAGTGGCTCACACTCTGAGTCTGATGACATCTCTTTTTGGAGATTTTCGGACTCTCAGACTACCTAATTAACTGTGTACCACAACCTAGCACCCTGCCTAAACGTTCGGAACTCCTGGACCTATTTGTCAAGCCTGCTCCCTGAACAAAACAAAAAACTTCTAACCATCTTATGCCTTTATACTTTTTTTAGAAAAAAAAGTTGATGGAAAAAATATGCAATATCTGGCTTTTTTCGTTTTTATAAACTTAGTAATTTACAATGTAATTTAATCATAATGCTAGTCATAATTGTATCACGTCGTGACCCCATTGTCGTTTCCCTGTCGTTTTCTATACAGGGGCCGCGCAATCGTGCGTGGCGGGTCATAAAACGTATGACAAATTCATAACTAATTGCATCCAAGATATCATTCATAAGATCTGTTTACCATCATGACGTCATAAGTAGTCCGCGGACTAGTCCACAGATTGGGTCGGGCTTCGTGGATACTACCCAAAGGTTATTGTAACGCGTTACCATAGTTACATACTAGCTTTAATTGTATATCATGAAAATAATAGCAGTTGGGATTACACCTTTGTCACACTAATCTGACATTGTAACCATTATCCTATAACTTAATATTGTTTCAGTTTTTATCGGATCATACCTTCTGATTGTTAACGTTATCCGTCCCAACACCATTCCAATGGAGAGTTTTCCATCCATGAGACTTATTCTTACTTCACATATGCTCTTTTTAGGTTAGTTTAAATAAACTAATAGTTCTAATGTACTGACAGTACTAGTGGTTACTAGTAGTAACTAATAGTAACTAGTGGTGCATCGATTTAGAATTGGCGGTTTATAAATTTTTATTCGATTCTACGGTTTAAAAAATACGTTTAGTAAAGTATTTTTAAGTTCTTAGCGTTTCGAGTGGACCCTCTATAAATATAATTATTATTATCAGAGATTTCTTCTTCAACCTGGGAATCAATTATACTTATAGCATTACAACCCAGGAAATGGCGCAGTGACACCAATATTCTTTGGTTTGTTCAACACTTCTATCCGAAATAAATCCACTGTAGTTATACAACGTCAGGGTACTTCCCTCATCTCGTCTATCAGCAGAAAGTTACAGAAAAAGGGTGCGTACATTTCAACTATGATAACACACATCATAATTATATGTAGGTTGTGTCATTTGTGTAACTGTATACACACAGTTACAACTTACACACATGTGTATATATACACAATAATGTATATTGTATACTGTATATTATATACATTGTATCGGTAATAAATAAGTAAATAGCCTGCCAAATGCCAATCAAATGGTGTACGAACTGCATTGCTTGTATGATATTAATATGATTTATTGCATGTAATGGAAACCCTGTAATGGATACCCGGTAATGGAAACCCTGTAATGGATACCCGGTAATGGATACCCTGTAATGGAAACCCTGTAATGGATACCCGGTAATGGATACCCTGTAATGGATACCCGGTAATGGATACCCTGTAATGGATACCCTGTAATGGATATCCTGTAATGGATACCCTGTAATGGAAACCCTGTAATGGATACTGTAATGGATACCCTGTAATGGATACCCTGTAATGGATACCCTGTAACGGATATCCTGTAATGGATACCCTGTAATGGATACCCTGTAATGGATATCCTGTAATGGATACCCTGTAATGGAAACCCTGTAATGGATACTGTAATGGATACCCTGTAATGGATACCCTGTAATGGATACCCTGTAATGGATACCCTGTTAAAATAGGTTTCTGGACGAATGTCTCTCACTCCTCGTTCTCCTCCTCCTTACGGAAAATGTTTCAAGATTCAGCCAGCGCCAAGGTTTCAGTACAGAAAGAGGAGGATCAAACCCGACTTGTCGGTAAGAAATTCTTTATAACACTTCCTTATGTGGTAATGTATTTAGTGCTTTATAGCACTTCCTTATGTGGTAATGTATTTAGTGCTTGTTTAATTTATATTTATTATCAACCGTATCTGAGATTCTGTGATTGAATACAATTTGTTGATGATAATATTATGATTGTTATAATAGATATTTTATATGAACTCTTACACATTACATTAACTGGGAATACACATGCATTATGGAGTTTAAATTATCACTTTTGTCACCATGCCAGCCGCTTTGGCATAGGCAATTTTGAATTTTTATTTCCATAATATCGGTTTTTGGTATAAGCAGGATAATGATATAAATGCTTCATTTGATTTCATTTCATAATTTTTTATTTGTTTTAAATTTGATTATTTCAATAAAACATAATTCATGTCTAATAACCTTAATAATCTTACCATACTTATTTCTCATATATTTATAATACTTAGTGATATAGTTCCTAATATGGTATGTTATCTTCAGTGCCGAGACAGAGCAGCAACACAACACAAAACGGAACTCAGCAGACTGTAATCACTGACATTGGGTGCTCTCCTTTCGATAGCCCTAATCAGAGGTAACAACAACCAATCAGGACACACTATTCACACCACGTGACACAAACCAACCAATCAGAAGACAGTATTTACACCACATGACACAAACCAGCCAATGAGAAGACAGTATACACACCACGTGACACAAACCAACCAATCAGAAGACAGTATTCACACCACGTGACACAAACCAGCCAATGAGAAGACAGTATACACACCACGTGACACAAACCAGCCAATGAGAAGACAGTATACACACCACGTGACACAAACCAACCAATCAGAAGACAGTATTCACACCACGTGACACAAACCAACCAATCAGAAGACAGTACTCACACCAAGTGACACAAACCAACCAATCAGAAGACAGTATTCACACCACGTGACACAAACCAACCAATCAGAAGACAGTATTCACACCACGTGACACAAACCAACCAATCAGAAGACAGTATTCACACCACGTGACACAAACCAACCAATCAGAAGACAGTATTTACGTAGTCTCATGCTGACCCCTAATTTCAGGTTCGTGTTCCCAGCCCCCTCCTCGAGCGAGGGTCTTGAAGGAGAACTGCTCAGAGTCTGGGACGAGGAGTATCTCAAGGTTAGCAACGGGGTCGAGTCAGAAGTTTGAGTAGCCAATCAGAACACAATATTTACACCACGTGACACAAAGTAACCAATCTGAATCAGAACGCAGAAATAACATTAAGTCTGATTTTAAACGTCTCTCTAGACTCTAACGTTAGTTGTTGGAAATATGTGTTTATTGTCAGCTAGAAATAAAGACACAAGACTCCATTTAAGAGATAGACCAACGAAAATACCTTACTCGCGTGAAAGTGGGCTCATATTAATAACGAAACGGTTTTACATAAACGCTAACTATAATATCAACCCTGAAGCTAACCAAAACCCTAAGCACAATTCTAAACCCTAAACTGACATTTTACTATAGCCTGTCACCTGTCACGTGACCAAATCAGTTCTTTGCTCACAATAAAACCTCTACGGGGTAATTCGGACTCGGTCAATATTTAGAACAAATATTTTAGGAGTATCAGCCGTTATATTATTATTAAAAATAAATGCACTTGCGGCACTAATATTTTAAAAAAAATCAAGATACTTATTTTACTTCGGTGTATTCCAACAGCCACATTGTTACACAAGTGCAACCAGCCAATTACAGGAAGCCGAAGGATTTGTTTTGGCCAGTGACGGTTAAGGTAGTGTGTACCATACTTTCTTCGCCCGAGACTTTGCTGCAATGTGCAGCTCCTCATTTAACCCTCACACCCGATTTCTCGAGTATTCGGCTGAGTAGACCGGGGGGCTGCATAGACCACTCAGGATCCTTAGCTGAACGTCAACGACGCTCACCCCACGACCAGGCAGACAGTGGGATTCGAACTCGCAACCTCACGATTACAAAGCTGGCGTTTTAACCAACTGCGCGTTTTAACCAACAGCGCTACCTATATAATTATAAATATAAGTACAGTGCGAGGCAAGTAGTTATATATTAGTGCGTTTTATTTTACGTGATACGGACGGCTCAAAATACATTGCATGGTCATGTTAATATCTTGATAATAATAGATAACATGCGATCATCACACTTACATCATGTTGCACTTTGCACTTGGAGGATTAAAGTGAGACATAGGTATGTATTTTGACGTGACATGCTAGTAAAACACAAATCATATTGTTTAGGGTTACTGTTAGAGTTATGATTGTGTTTAGGTTATTGTTAGGGTCAGGGTTGGGGTTAAGGTTTCGGTGAGACCGTTTCTTTCAGTTACTAAACGGTAAAAACCCAAGCCACATGACAGTACGCGCTGGCAGTGGCTGGTGAATTTATAGTAAAGTCATTATTGTATTTGTCCTGCTGATTTTAACATTGTAAGCCAATCAACATGTTTAGACAACAGTAAAACTGTCAGGGTTATAGGGACTCAAAATCTAAAAAGTTTTTGTCAGTTTGTTAAACTTAAATATTAAAATATTTGTAATTTAAAATTAAATGCTTCATTTTCTCATTATCGATATTGTGATCATTTGAACGATCATAACTTTTGAGTTGTGTTGAGTTTCCTAATGAATGTATGATTCGTCCAGGTTTTGAGTGAGAATATTAGCAATAACAAATAAAATATCCCAGCATTTAATAAATACTATTACTTGAACACTTAATATTAGTGTTACCAATTACTTGTGTGTTTTGAAACTATTTATTGAAAATTATATCACGTACTGTAACTCTATTTTATTATTAATAGGCGGTGCACGATAAAAATAAACTTGCTCGGATTTTCAAAATTTTTGGACCATCGTTTTCTAGAGACTGTGAGAATTTTCACAGTACCAAATTTATCATACCTTTTTGGAATGATCAGTGAGTTTCGCCTAGGTGCCATATTTGATGGTGCGCGGCTTTTGGAGCAAAATTAGGTGTAAAAGTAGCGTAATTTGACGAAATTCGTTGATTTTTGTCGTATTATTCTGTCATATCTTCAGTTCCTGAACATGAATCATGCTGAAAATTTGTCAGAACCTTCCAATCATACTTAACTACCGAACCTAATTTAGTTGAGAGAGATTGGCCTTGATTAAGAGGTCTAAAAATGACAAAATAGGTATAAATTCGTTGATAACTCAAATTCTGAGCATCGAAATTGCTCAAACTAAATTAGGTTCAGTAGAAAATAAGTGTTTACGTAAGCTGACCAAATTTCAACAAAATTGTTATATGGGAAGTATTATAACTTTTCGATTGTTTCCAAAATAATGTGCTGGCCGAAATAAGAGCTAAAAAACCATTCAATGGTCAGCGCGCGCGTCTTATTGTCGATGGCGCACTGCCTATTATTAACTAGAAAGCTTACCTGGGGACCTCTAGAAAGCCAGTAGTTGCAGGGAAAAGGTTAAATAGTATTTTTTGGTAGTCAGTTTTTATCGCATCAAAAAACATCTTCCACAACCGAAGATAAAGACCAATAAAATGTAAAGTAAAGTTTCTACGATACAGGGGGAGCCGCGCACTCGCGCGCGGCGGGTCATCAGCGTATGACAAAAAAGTATAAGATGGATCAGGTTATAGAAGTGGTAGAAATTGAGAATGAGTATAGTATATAGTAGGTAGGTAGGTTTTTTGTATGGTGTCACAAGTAAAACATGCATTACCCTCCGCTTACGTTATTTTAATGCATATTCTCCGCGCGCAGAGCAGTTATGGTTTCGTCGCAACCTAGATTGCACATAGTTACCCTCCGCATACGTTTGCACGATTTTACGGTTGATTGAATTACACTTTAAAATGCGCGGCGCCAAGGATACAATTTGAATTCTATTACATGGTAATTGATTTGAATAACAAGCGATTTCCCGGATCTTATACATGTACTGTTAAGGGGACATATACAAAAAGCTTTTATGCCGTAGCCCTGTTGTTAACTTCATATTAAGAAAGTATACATAAAAACAATAAGATTTAATATATTAAAAGTTATTTTTGAGAGCACTCACTTTCGAAAAAATAAATATTTATATTTATATTAATTAAAGACACAAAATTTGTAAAAAATGTGTACAATTTGTACAAAATTTATACAAGGGGGGACCCTTCGAGCTAGAAAATTATTTAAGACAATTTGTCTTCTAAAATCACTTATTTGGTACTAAAAGATTCGTCTTATCATAATCGAGTGGATTACGATTCTGTAAAAATTATTTTTTTAAAACTGAGGCTTTTTGAGTAATACGCATTTTAAGCCTTTAAATCTGCCATTTTTGGCCCTTTTTTACGATGAATTTTACTTAGTCGTTTGAGGCCACATTTCATAGCTTAAAACTCAAATCTGAGAAAAATCCTAACCCAAAAAGTTTGATATGATCATCAGCTACACTCACAAGAATATTTGAAGCGATATCTGCTGACCCGGGTGAATGGTGAAATGTACAACTTTACTTTTAGAAGTAGGCAAAAATTTCAATTTTTCTTTTTTCGACCTTGTTTGGTCTTCAACTTCGTCATTTATTGTTTAATTATAAAATCCTATCAAGGGCTTCTTGTACAGATTGTAGGTAATGTTCAGTCAAAAATCAGTAAAAAAAACGTTTAAATTGACTGAAATGGTATTACAGTGACAGACTTCTCAAAATTTCCAAAACTTTCGAAAAAAAAAAATTTATTTTTTCGAAAGTGAGTGCTCTCAAAAATAATTTTTAATGTATCAAATCTTATTTTTTTATGTATACTTTCTTAATATGAAGTCAACAACAGGGCCACGGCATAAAAGCTTTTTGTATATGTCCCCTTAAGTAGTTCAAGCTTTTCTTTACTTGATCATTGATCTTACCTGGGGACCTCAGGCTATCATGTTCATTAATAGAGATTCGGCGGAATGACAGGCTGAGCACGGCCCAGTAATCATTGATCATGATGCGGTACAACATACTAACTTTTCGTTTTGTTGTGAGTGCTAGGTGCAACCACCGACTTGGCTCCCGATATAATAATGTCAATGATATCAGATATTATATAGTAATCCGTTATATTGTTGAACAAATCATGATGCTGATATTATGTTGAACATGATTGTACCTTAAGGGGGGTGAACCCCCCCCCTTAAGAACGACAAATTTAGTCTACTAATTAGTCTAATTTCAGTGGAGCAAATATGGCATGAATATTATTAAGCTAACATTGTTTATAATTAATATATGACATCACCGTTCCTAATCCTACTGCACAAAACCGTACCAAAGTCCTATTGCACTTAAAGGGTTAGAGCTCCTCTTGGACATTACATTTTTTATCGATCCATCCCAATGCATGCTCTGTTGAAACGGCTGAAGGATCATATCGACATAAACTACGTCGTTACGACAAAAATGGTAAAGTCGAAAAAAGGTGAAAAAGAAACTGAACAGTGTACTGAAGAACTTATATTACGTATATTAGAAGAACGTATATTAGTGATACAGAGTCACAAACTCTGGATCTGATGTTATTGAAATTCCTGAGTAATGCATTGCAGCTTAAAGTTAATCTGTAATGCTCAGACGGGGTAGACTAAATTTGTCATTCTTAAAGTAAATGGAATGGAAAATGGTCTCGAAAAGTCGAAAAATGTGACTAAAATTGTTGTAGACTAAAAATTTGCGAAATTTGTGACTAAAATTATGGTAACCAAAATTATGGTAACCAAATTTATTGTGAACTAAATTTATTGGCCCTAAGGTATTTGATTTATAACACGAAATGGACCATAAATGTTATTATGAGTTACATTACCTACAACGGATTTCACGACTACCATTTTATTTAATCTAACAACTTATGTAAACTTGTAAACAACCATTCCTTAATCACATGGCTTTCTTTCTTCAAACTTTTAACTGCATATCACCACACAGGCGCAGGCTACGGTTTCCGGTCATTTAACTTTTTAAATTTGAATAATTAACAATGGCAACCCCTCCATTTTGTGCTCTGTAGCGCCCCAAGAATGGTGAATGAAGAAGCATTATTTGATATTTAGACGAAAATAAAACAATCGTTAATTGTAATTTTAAATTTTGAAAGGCATGGCAATCCCTACGGTTGATGGAAATCTTACTTGGGGA